TTTTAGCAGGAAATTAAAATCTCTTGTGGAATAGTATCAAATCCATGCTTACAAAACACATCAGTGAAAAGCGTTGCTGATGTCTCTTCAGAGGATTTAACTTGACCGTGTCACATTAATCACCTCTGAAGTAAAGGAATGAGTCGTAATTGTTTTCCATTACCTTGTGTTTGCTTTTTCAGAATTGCGAAAATGCCAGGGCCAGGACTGCAGATCATAAATCTCATCAGACCTTTGAGTGTTTTTTGCATGCTATGTTACATGTTGCATGTTAGCCTGTTTCTTCTCATTATAAAAATCTGTTTCAAATGTAGGTAATTCTGCAGCATCGCGTTTTCAACCTTCTGTTCCTTTGATACACAATGCTCCTGTTAGTCCTTATAGGTGGTAAAATTAGTCTATAAAGCTGTTCCATATCCTGTAGGATAAGCTCAAACCTATTTGCTTTTCAATGAAGTGAGTGAAAACTACTGTGTACTAATACCCCAAATAAACAGACTGTATTTGCAGCTAACAGAAAGATCTTTTACTAATGCGGCAAAACCTTTATAAAGAAAAAGTGTATGTGATCTCTTAAGGAAGCAATGGAAACATTTGGTTTTTAGCAGGACTGATTTTCTAATAAATGTGGATTAAGAAGGTGCTTCATGTGTCCAGAGAGTTTTCTTTTTCTTTTTCTTTTTTTTTCTTTTTTTTTTTCTGTATCTTGCTATTTCTCAATCTGCTCTGTTGTTTGGCTGGTTTATTTAGTCACTTCTCTGTACCTGCAGTACTGACCTTGGGTGTCATCATGATGAACGGTGCAGTTTTACACAGTATAATCCATTTGAGAATGGTGTTTTAGTGGCTTTTAGATCCGTACTGAGTCCTTCAAAAGTGCACACCAATAGAGGACTCTTGACAGAAAAACGGAATCTCCTGATCCTTCTTTTGAAAAGTGGCCAGGATACATACGTTACAAATAGGGAAAGAACATGAAATGCTGGTTACTATTTAAGAGTGTAGGGCAATTTGTGGGCAAATACAGCTCAGGATGCACTGTAAACCGGGCTAAATACAGTAAAAGACCAAATCTGTCAGAAAAGAGGTCAAAGAAGAAACTAGCAAATTTGGAGGAAGGTTTTCACAAAATCCCAGGGAGCACCAGAACTCCAGTTCAAGGTTTAGTGCAATGCATCATTCTTACTGGGTCTTTAGAGCTGTCCCCGGAGATCACATTCATAAAATCTGATGGCTTAAAGATGAGAGACTAGGGAAAGGTATCTGTGCTTTTCAGATTATGTGCTGTTAGTAAGATCCACAACAGCTGGATTTCAGCCAACCTGCACCTGGGGAAAAGCATGGACAGCCATTCCCCTTCAAATCAGTTGATCTAGAACTCTGGAAATCAATTTCTAATTGTTTTTTCTCCAAGCAGACTCTTCTTTGAAGACAGAGCATTTTTACAGGTTGGCACGGTTGCGTTTTCCTGTTCTTCCTCATGCTCATGTGCATTGAACAGTTACCAGTGGATTATGGCAGCACCATGTCCCCAGACTGGGAAAAGGATCAGCTTTCAAATACGGGAGAAATATAAGGAGAAAAGAAATAAGGAGAAAAGATTATGCAAGGAAATCTGTAGCATCTTTGGCTGTTCACCAATTCATTGGACAGTTTCTGTCAAACCAAAGAAAATCATCAAATGCTTTTAACTAAAGCCAGGATAAAGTATTCATTGAATATTTGACAGACAAGTGGTAGTGCAGATCTTCATACAAGTGATATGAAGATCTCTTGTATCTCTTTATACAAGAGATATGGCTACTTTATCTGGAAGCTGACAGAGCTCTCAAGGGCTGGATTTTCAAGTGAGGAACTATTACTTTTGATGCAGAAATGAGCTAACACAGCTGAAGGCACTATCTGATTTGAAACCACAGAAATCACTTGACTGAAGACAGCCATGACGAAGGGGCTACTCTGGCAAATAAAAAGTACAGTCATGTATGCAGCCTGGGTTTCATTTAGGCAGAGCTATGAAATGCAGAATGAGGTTCCAAGTTCATGCTTTGTGACCTTGCATGCTGGAATAAGGTTGATTAATAGGAAATTTCCTTTCTTCCAACATGCTGAAATCATTATACCACAGGGATACGACCTTTTGCTCAGATACTCTTACACATTCATATCCAGGCCCTCCTGGAAGGAGCTCAAGGGTAGATTTTATTCATCTAACATAGTAGTTAAACCATGAACTTTGCTCCAGGCACCAGAGTAAGCTCCACCTTTGGCTTCTCTTTCATATTGACCATTTCAACTAAATATTCATTTAAAACCTCTCCGTTCCCAGAGAGAAGACTGATCTCAAAACTTACCGACTTCAGTGGTGAGAAGGAGACATTCACCAATCCAAAAACTTGGTCTGCCGACCCTAACAAACACAGCCTCTTCAGCAGGACATTAAAATTACCAGAGGAGCTTTGCCTTCCCAGTTGGTTGCTGTTGGCAGAGGCAGGTAAGAGCAGCTCTGCCCAGCTGTGCATGAGGTCATTTGGGGCCTTCTGTCCTCTGTCCTGACATTCCACGGGCTTCAGGGCACTCCTACTCACTACAGGCACAAAGGAATCAATCAATCAGGCTACCAAACAGGCTTTCAATGGGCAGGGTGGCACCCGACAGGGTATAGGCAGCAGCGGTTCAGAAGGATGTTAAAAGGACTCCAAGTCACTCACTGGGTGTTGCAATGAGCAGTCTGTCTTGCCCAAATAAGAACTGAGAAAACTCCATTTCACTGCAAGCATCCTCGGAGATACTCTGTGCTCTTTGCTTAAAGGAGGCTCCGCTCTGCTGATTTTTTTTTTTTTTTTTTTTTTTCTTTTTGCTTGGACAGCCATATTTAAGAAGGGGGCAATCAAGTTACAGCACCCAAATTTTTGTTACTT